GTATATATATATATATATATATATTTATTTAGAGAGACAGAGAGACCTTTATATTTAGTTCTATTAGCCATATTTACTCTTCACAAAATGTACAAACCCTTATGAGCTCAAAATTTTTGCTATTTCAAAATAAAAATACATTTACATAATCTTTTTTATTAGCTATATAAATATTACGAAAACAATATTTTTTATATTAAACATATATAAGTAAATCCATCAATGATAAGATATATTAATATAACTAAATGGCATAGCTCTATGGATATGTAGCACAAAATTACCTGTAATATGAACTAAACATGTTTATTTTCAATTGGTCCATCGTTATTCTTTACTGAGATCAAGTTATGATAACTTAAAGAGAAATAAAGACAAACTCTTACTAAAATCTCATATCATCAAATGATACAACACTCATATGAGCAATATACCCATCAAAAACCATAATGAGATCTTCAATAAGAAAACTAATAAATTTTACGTTTATATGATTATGCTCTATAAATAATTGTCCACTATGAACTCTTTTTTTTTTTAATTATGACCTTATATCTATATCCTGACTTTTATAAACTCCTATTGCTTTTAGAATGCATTACTAATACATTGATTTCACAGATTAACTCAAATGATCTTTCAACTTCTTCTAAGAATCGTAACCTAGAAATAAAGTTTTAAAGCCATATTTAATAATTGGATGCATCATAATATGCTATAAACTCATATTCCATGACAGAAAAAACTATGAGATTCTGCTTGGCGCTATCTCAGAAAATAGCTTCTCCAAACAAGTAGATATACCTGATGTAAATCTTCAACAATCTTAAAATTCAATGAAATTTAAATCAAAACACTAATGATTTCCAATTGATCTAATTTTCTATACATAAGTATATAAACATTTGTTTTTTGTAAATATATTATACCTCATTTAGTTTTTTTCTAACGATTCATAACATAATTCCTTAATTATCTCTCTAACAATCTAATAATATATGCTATATTTGAATATGCACAAAATTGAGTATATATTAGATTCCCAACAGTTTATGCATAAGGAATTTTTTATATTTCTTCAACTTTCAAATTATTGTTAGCAATCATTGAGATTTGACCATACGGCGAAGGGTCAGGGATAACAATTAGTTGTAATTTTTGCACTGGAGCATATTTCTGACATTGTTCCTATCTTCGGGAAAACTGTTCTGCGTCCTTTAAGAGGGTTGATCAAAAGTAACCTTGTCTTTGTACTAGATGAGCCAGAGTTTTTCCTTCTGATTGGCTTTCACATTGGTTTGAATGTACTTCCCAAAGGATGTCTTCCACGCATCATAAAAGCAAGGACGTGGTTGACCTTCGTCCAATGAGAAGATATCGAGCGACTTTGAACTTGAATCTTTTTGGATCAATTACTAAATCATGAATTTTGCCTATTTTAAAGTAGTGGATATAAGGCTCCACCCAGCTTTTTTCATGATTCACTTCCATTTCGATTACTTTCGACTCTTCAATGGATGATCGAAGAAGTTTCTGGGGTGCTTGATTACCAACGCGCATATTTTAAGAGATCTGCCACTTAATTATCTTCTCGTCTGACATGTTCAATACGGAAACTTATGAACTTTCAAATTTCAACATTTTCTTTATTTAAGTATCCGAACATCATTTCATGGTGAGCTTCGAATTCTCCATTAACCTGGTTGACAATTAGTGGTGAATCAGACTTCACCAAAGCCCAATTATCAACGCTTCATATTCTACTTGAATATTCATGACAACGAAGTCAAAGACTACTGCATGATAAATATGCTCTCCAGTCAGGTTGCGTAAGGCCAGCCCAATTTCTGCCTTAGTTTGGCCCGAAGCTTCATCGACATATAGGATCCATGCTTGCATTTCTTCTCCGTACTCTTCACTTGATCCTCCTGATTCTGAAAAATCCACCAAGAAATCTGCCACAGCTTGAGCTTTAATTGCCGTTCGAGGGATGTAAGTAAGATCATAGTCACTGAGCTCCACTGATCATTTTATAATCGGCCTGCATGTTCTGGCCGAGTGAGCATAAACTTAAGCGAATGGTCGATGATCAGCTTAATTGGATGGGTCAAAAAATAAGGCCAAAGCCTGCGAGCATAAATAATAAGAGCAAACTTTAGTTTTTCCATTAGAGGATACCTTATTTAGGCTACCCTAAAGACTCGACTTGTATAATAAATTGGAACTTGCTTCCCCGACTCTTCTTAGACGATGACCAAACTAATATCCTCTGGACCGACTCCCAGATAGATTGAGAGTTCTTCCTCCGGCTTTGGACTTTGCAGCAGTGGCAGAGAGATTAAAGAGTGCTTCAAATTCCAGAAAGCTTGCTTGTATTCGTTCGTCTACTCGAACTTTCTTCATTTTCCTTAGTACTTTAAAGAAAGCGGCACATTTGTCTCCTAATTTGAAAATAAATCGACTCAATGCTACAATCTGGCAGGTGAGCTTTTGTACTTTTTTGGTATTTCGAGGAGAAGGTATGTCGAGGAGTGCCTTCACTTTCTCGAGATTAGCCTTAATGTCTTTGGACGTTAAATGGTATCCCAAAAATTTCCCCTTGGAGACTCCAAACATGTATTTCTATAGATTCAATTTCATATTAAACTTCCTAGGAGTTCAAAAGGTTTCCTTCAACTCACACATACGTTGTCCGGTTGTCTTCCTTTTCACTAACTCATCATCCACATAATCCTCAATGTTTCTTTAATTTTCATCTCAAAGGGTATTACTGTAAGATAATACAATCCATCACGAGTAATAAAAGCTCTACATCAGTCGGGTGTATTCTGATTTGGTGATATCCAGAGAAGGCGTAGAGGAAACTCATGATTGAGTATCTGAGTGCAAAGTCAACCAGAGCATCAATTTGAGATAATGGATAGCTGTGCTTTGGGCAAGCAATGTTTAAATTTGTGAAATCCATGCACATTTCCCATTTGCCGTTGGACTTTCACAACATGTTTACGTTGGATACCCAAGAGGGATATTGAACTTCTCAAATGTATCTAGCTTCTAAAAGTTTCTTCACTTCTTCACAAATTGGTTTAGCTAAAGTCGTTGCTGTCCACCGGAGCTTTTGTTTCACTGGCTTGGCATTTGAACTGACATAAGAGTTTGTGGCAAACAACATCAATGGGAATGCCAGGCATTTCAGCCGCCGAATAATGTGAAAACATCGCAGTGTTCCTAGAGTATCTGGATCAACGTACCTTTGTGACCTGCATCAGAAGTCTCATTGATTAGAACATATTTACCAGGCCCGTTGGGATTTTG